CTTCATCTTTGTGCATTGGATAACAAGCAGTTTGTCTCCAGGACACTTTGGTCAATGAGGATGCTGTAGTGTTATAGAAACATTCTGCACAGGGTATTTCCATTTAAGTCCCCTCTATTATGGAGATCAGATCAAAATCTGCTCAGTTCCATACATATTAATGTGAAAAGCTTTCTCCAATATAAAATACAAAGGAGCACAGGCACTTTTTCTAGACTTCACCCAAATCATGATGAATACAAACATGTCTGTTTTAAAAGGAAGATCAGAGAAGAGTCCACAAACTAGGACAGATGTGGAGCATCTCTTAATCCTGTAGTCAGCACTGTGTGCTACAATGGTGTGTCCTAAAGCATGATGTCTCTCTGGAATTTGCATTGTTTGTTAGGGTCATATAGTCACTAAGTACTGGAATGGAGCTGTCTCCTCCTTAAACAATAATCTCCTAGAATGTGTCGCCAAGTCTTGTAGTTCTGACCTTGACTAGATTCCCACTGGAACTTAGCTATATGCAACCTATATACAACTCTAACTGCGCAATGTGAAAAATCCATGTTAATGTATCTCTTATCTTTTTTTACAATAGACTATCAGTTTAGTAATTTGTCTGGAACTAAAGAAGCCACTTTTCACAAAATAACCCCCCTTAAAATTTGAAAATTTATATGATTTTCTGTATATTTCTTGCAAATGAGATTGCCTGTGTATTGTGTGTAGACTTTTTTTTTTTGGTCTGAATCTAATAATTTTTTTAAAAAAAGTCAAGATAAATGTAGGGACAACTTATTCTGAAAGGTTAACCAGAAATACCCCAAATTTACAACTTTTGCAGTATTCAAAATTGTTTGCAGAGATGCCAACATATGTTACAAATTTCTTGTACTTAATGGGTGGGTCTCTTAGTGTGGAGGGACTCAAGCAGGAGCCATTTAAAAATATAATTTAAGGCAAACTTCTCTAAGAAGTTGGGTAAATTATGGTAGCTCCTATAGAAGAAATTTTAATTTTACCCAAGAGAAATTCCACAAAATAGAGAAACGGTTCAGAAACCCTAATTATAACTTTTGTATGATACAGCTTTATCATCTTGAGGTTCCAAGATTTAATAAAAAGCATTCAGTGGAGTCCCACACAGATATGAAGTATCTTTCTTCATTTTTTAATTAACTGTAGTATGTGCTTATTTGGAAACTGTCCTTTTACAGGTTGGATCTCTCTGGGGAGAGGGGCAGCAGCCTGCAGCACAGCCTGCCCTGGCCCCTGCCACTCACCCAGCACGTAGATCTTGCCCTGGTACACGGTGACGCCCAGCGCGCTGCGCCGATGCCCCA